GAAGAGACACAATCACCATGGTACCTCTCATAAAGGAAGATATTTAATTGGGGATTGTTTACCATTTCAGAGGTTTAGTTCTACTGTCATAATGACAGGGGGCATGATGTCATGAAGGCAGACATGATGCTGGAAAAGTAGCTGAGAGTTCTAAATCCAGGTCCACAAGCAGTAGTAAGAGGGAGACTATGGGCTTGGAATAGGTTTCTTGAGCCCTCAAAGCCCACCCTAATTAACACATTTTCTAAACAAGGTCACATCTTCTAATCCTTTCAAATACTTCCACTCCCAGGTGACCAAGTATTCAAACTATAAGGGCCATTCTCATTCCAACCACCACACTTGCTAATCCAGTTCCTCCTTGATCTACCCCTCTTTCCTTCTCACCCAACGTTTTATTTAATTTTCTTGAATTTAACTTGGACGACTGAAATATTCTTGGATATGTGGTCTCCCACTGGAACATATTTGACTGACCAAAGGCTGCAATCATAGAGAAAACTGACTCTCAGCAACTATGTATTGTCAATAGCCCCATGGCTAGTGGTGAGACTTTTGCCTTCTCTTCTCCACACTGGGATTTGCTCTTGCTTGAGCTTATATAGGATTGTGCATGATGCCACAACTGCTATGAATTCATGTGTACCACGGTCTTGCTGTGTCCAGAAATCATCGCATCTGGCTGTTACATTATTATGCTTTCTCTTCTGTAAAAATCCCTTAGCCTGGTGGACAGAGAATGTGATTAAGATTCTAACTTAGGGCCAAGTATTCCACATGCTTTTATTGTATTTACCTCAGCCATTTGTTGGTCTCTGTATTAGTCACCATCAATGGCAAAATAAATTTCTCTGATGAAGACTGAGATTTGTATTAGCCTATTAATATAATAATGAATCATAAGCATTCCATTTAACACCATCTTTAGGACCTTTGAGCTGACTTAACATAGATTCCTGTGCCAATAATGGTACCAGATATGTATTTCATAAAATTAAATCTAATCAGAATGCTGTTAGCTACTCTTATGATACTAGGGTCACTATTGTACCAGTTGGCATGTCTCACAAGGCCAGTTGTTATCATAGCTAGTAGGGATCACAGCTGGGTAAGACTGGTAATATTCTCTTCCTATACCATGCATAACACCTTCCTGTACTTTGATAGCTTGCTAGTAGGCATGCAGATTCCAGTTCAGTGCCAGCTTGATTTCTCCATGTTGTTTGACCCTGGTACATACTGCCTTCAGCAATAAGGTCTTAAAGCACGGTCAATTCTGGGGGACAATTGTTAGCATTGACAATAGACTATAAATGCTCAAGGATATATGAGATGTTACACTCTAATGTTGACCTCTAATTTCCCACCCAGTTTAGCATTTCATGTTCCATTATTTCCCTTTCATCATTTATACCACTGTGTTCTATCCCCCCTCCCTTAAAAGTCACCCTTGATAATAAGTACTTGCTAACTTCTAGACTTCTATGGGATTCCAAATGAAACACACAAATCTGAAGATTCAAAGGTAAAATATGTCAATGAAAATTACATGGGAAATTCATTTTTCTGAGTGTAGATTATCTCACTCAGAATGAGTTTTTCTAGTTCCAGACATTTGTCTGCTAATTTCATTTTTCTTAACAATTGAGTAACATTCTGTTGGGCAAATATACCACACTTTCATTCTTCATTCTTAGTTTATGGACATCTAGGATGTGCCCATTTCGTGGCTAGTGTGAAGACAGCAGCAATGAACATGGATGCGGGCTGTGCAGGCATTTCTAGAGCAGGCTACAGGTTCTTTTATTATTACTCAGGGATGCTATAGCTGGATCACATGGAAGACTTATTTTCAGCTTTCTGATGAACCTCCACCTTCTACATTGATTCTCAATGGGGTAAGTCAAACACAGAAAGAAACACATATGTAGACACTAGCTTTGAAATGTTATGTGTGTGTTTAAATTAGAGTATCTATATATGTCAGAAAACTAGCAAGTTTGTATGGGAGATAATTTAAGGGAAAAGGGATATAATGTAAATACTAAGAAGGTGAAAGGGAAATTGAAATAGATTGGCAGATAGAAGAAGAAGTAGAACAGGGAGTGTGGAGAGGGGTAACTAAAACTAAAGGCTTTGAACATGTCCTCTGGAAACCTATAACTGTAGAAATGTATTAAAATATACACAGTGGATACCTAGAGAGAAGAATGGGAAAAATAAAAGATCTGGAAAATGGGGAGGAATGCTATACTATGGACACACCATAGATGGGTGTACATGAATTCAGAGAAGCTATCATTATATACACAACTTCTGCACAAGATCGAGGAAGCATAGAGCATGGACAAACTTTGAAATGCCAGCCTTTGCTGAGGAGTTATTGGCAAGTGATGGTTGTTGGGGAAGGGGAGTCATATTTCTTTAGGCCTATGGCAATATGTAATTCCTCATACATCAATGGATGACACAACACTCCTGCCTTTATGGTAACACTAATATTGGACTCAGTGGCTAAATGCACATACCTAAATTATGATAAAAGAGGGACATGAAATTGCAGTGAAGATATAATTATGGTGTTGATAGGAGTAGGGACAGTGATGGGGAATGTACTTCTTTGTATGTTTATCTTATTGATTATTGAATAAAATACTTTTTGGCCAATGAGACAGCAAGTTAGATGGGACTAGGGGTCAAAGAGGATTCTGGGAAATGTAGTAGAGAAGTGGTGATCCAGGCAGGAAGTGACATAGCAAAGGAAACCGAAAGTGTCCCCTTTTCCCCTCCGCTCTTCCTCCAGCGGAGCAATGTGATCCACCAGCAAGGAGGGACACCAATAAGGCATCCAATAAGAAAAATCTTATAAAATATATAGATTTATGATAATTAAGACAGAGCTAATAAATGAGAATCCTAGTCATTGGCCAAGCAGCAATGTACCTAATACAAGTCTCTCTGTGTATTAATTTGGGCCCTAACTCAAGCAGGCTGCTGGCGGAGAGCACCCACGAGGTGGTAGGGCTCGGGCGGCTTTGGCGGAAAGATTTAATGTAACAGGACAGGGCGGGAAAGAATGTGGTCAAGATACATTACATGTATGAATGAAAATTTCAAAACACAAACAAAAATTTTAAAAAGAATGCTATTATGTTGAGGTGATGATAAATGAAGAACCAAAGTCAGCCCAAGGATAGTCATGAAAGAATTATATGTGTGAACAAAATCTTTGCCTAGTGTTTCATGGCTTTACTACTTTGAATTGCAGATTTTTTAAAATTTTAAATATTTTCCATTTGATTATATAAAGCCATTTCAATGCAAGTGTATAAATATATTTTGGAGACATTTTGTCCCATTCTACAATATAATTTCTTTTTTCTCTAATACTTTCATGGTAGCTCACTTTGTTCCCATAGAGAATATTATCTTAACTTATATATCATCTGGGACTCTAAAAACACAGGAGGTTATCTAAGTTGTGAAATTTTAGACTACCAAACAAAAGAACATATATTTGCCTATTTAGTACTGAACTAATGCATTGATTGTGATTATCTCCAATAGCATCCATTTTCTTGAAAATGATATCTCTTCTTTCTTGTTAGCAATTTTAGAAAATTCCACTTAATATATAAACCACATAATAGTTTGTATCTATTTCATGTTTTCATGGTCATGTATGGGAGGAATTTTTTTCAGTAGGAGGCAATAGCCCTAGTGAGCAGTAAACTTGTCATGCAATAAATTAGAGTGTTATAATTGTTTCCTCTTCTAATCCTTTATGCACTCATTGACAAAAATATAGGAATGGAATTCTGGAAAAAATAAAAGGAAATAAAAATCCTAGGAAATGTAGACCTCTTGTTGCTTGTTATGTATCTTTAGCCAATAGAGGATGAAAGAAAATTACTAACTAGCATGAAAAAGATGTCACATTGGGTATCATCCAGAGAAGCCTTTAGAGACACAGTTAACTGAGCATAAAGGGGTGATTGAGATGATGCTAAGGCAACCAGAAATCAGAGGAGCAGTTTGAAGACAGTTGGAGAGAAATCAGGAACCATTATATACTTGTATCCTAAGATACTTTAGGTTTTTCAAAAAAAAAATCACAATGCTAGGGAAATGTAGTTCTCTCACTTGGGTTGCAGTGTCAGGATCCTTTCATAATGGATCCCAAGAATTCCAGGTTTTGGAATAGGCTGAATATAGAGATGTAAAAAATGTCTCCCATAGATTCTAATAACTTTATACACATTGATATTCCCTAATGGTTAAATTAACAAAAGGGTCAAGACCATGCTGGGAAAACCCACAGAAACAGCTGGCCTGAGCAAATGGAAACTCATGGACCCCAGCCTGAGAGCAAAGGAACCAACATAGGACCAAACCAGGCTCCCTGAACATGAGTGTCAGCTAGGAGCACTGTGCAGTCTATGGGGCCTCTGGTAGTGGCACCAGGATGAATCCCTAGTGCACAAACAGACTTCCAGAGCCAATTTCCTATGGAGAGATACTCTCTTAGCCTAGATACACAAGGGAGGGCCTAGGCCCTGCCCCAAATGACTTGACAGATTTTTGATGATCCCTCATGGAAGGCCTCAATTTCCCTGGGAAGTGGATGGCCCATAGGATGCCAGGATGGTGGAGAGCATGGGAGGATGGGAGGGAGAGGGAACTGGAATTGATATGTAAAATGATATTATTTCTAATTTAAATAAAATTTATTAAAATATATTAGTCACATGCCAAACTTATGTTATTTTTGAAATATTTGATGGAAACATGTTAATGACATGAATAAATTTTTTAAAAAAAATTAGATGAAGCAGAGCAATTGTGACCAATTGGTTTCTTCGATGTTCCTGTATATGGAATCAGTTTTTATTTTAAAATAAGATAATCATCATACCAGCATGCATTCAAAAGAGAAAAAAATTAAAGGAAGTTAACATATCATCCAGCAGCATGTCAGAAAGAGATGTAATGAAAAGGGCTTAGCAGTTGTTTTTTTTTAATATTTGACACCTCACGATCATGAGAGCACTTTCAACCTTTTGAGCATTTTTGCCTGCGCATCGGATCAGATTATAAAATGCAAACTGGCGAGCGTCTTCAGTGTCGGACTTCAAAGATGCCTGTCCAGACCAGACAGGGTATTTCTCATCTCCATCATCTTTACTTTGAATCTGATCATCAAAAGGAGAGTCAACAATCAGTTCTATTTTAGTATTTGGGGATGCATAACTTTTTAAAATGTGGAATGAATACTTGAGGAGAGTAAGAATTGCTTAACTCAGCTAAACCTATGGATTCTCAGGAGAATTGAACCAAGGTACCAAAAATGTGACAAATTGATGTATGCATTTTCTGCATGATAAATTACGTCTTGCAGAAGTTGTGGAATGGACTGACAGGAACTTACTTGACTTCAGACATGGATTTGAGAAAAGTACAAGGAAAGATCCAGTGTCCATTCAATCTCTTAAGTAATAATGAGTATCTTCAAAACAGTTGTCCTTTTTTCTGACTTGTCCTTTTTTCTCAATAGGTTCTTATATTGAAATGTTATCCTTTCTTATTTTTGACCAAATCAATTCATATAATGTATACACTCCAAACCTGAGATTTAGTGGGTCCTTGACCGTTTAAGATGCAAATAGTCAAGGGAAAACCATGCTAAGTTATCTGCCCAAGTGCCCGTGTGATTAACTTTTAGACTATGAAGGGTCCTGTCCCAATATAAATGATGGGCAGATGTTTTCTTCTGAGGTACCTAGGAAGTGAGATTCTGAGTGAAACACCCTTCAGATAGTTAGAATTACCAGCCTCCCATTAAATAGTGTGTTTGTGATACATTTCATTGCCTACAGTTCTCATTTGTAAAGAGACAGTTTTCAAAACTCAATTCTCCTTGCCCTGGTCACCTCATCTATTAAGAAAAGTACGGGACTGCTCACCTGGCTGAGAATACTCTTGATCCCCTCCAGGAGTCCAGTGCTCTTTTGCTCAATATCTCTGGCTTTTGAGAGCATAGTATCAGGGACGTCTTTCAAGGAAGGCATTTCTTTCACTAGATGGTACATAGGGACTTTCCAGGCAGCCAATAAGCTTTTCACTAATTTCAGTAGGACGATTGGCTAAGTAACCATATTAGAAAAATCACATTAAAATAAGTGAAAAATAACAGTGTTGCACAGAGACAGTTTTTGTTCATAATGGTGAAATAAGCTCTTTGTTACTCATGTGTGTATTTAAAACATTATTTTGTAAATAATGTAAAGACATGAAATATTGCCATCGACCTTGTGGTATAAAACTTGAGTGGATTGAATTCAGAAATGCCAGCAGAGCAAACCAGCTCTGTTTTCCCCACTTTCCTTATTTAATTCATCATTATTTTGATAAGAGTTGTAGAGATATAGAATGTTTTATCTATTAAGTAACACCTGGAATATGCATCCTAGGTATGGGGTTGTGTAAGGATAAACAATAATGTTCAATTTAAGTTACTGTGAGATAATTTATGGCAGGAAATCAGAGAAAGTGATGATAAGGATTAGGAATTAAATGATACTTGCATGATATGTAGCCTTGTCAGCATGCAGTGGGAATGGTTACAGCATTTTATAATGTTAACTTAACTCTTTTAGCTGACAAGGGTAAAGGCAGAAGGATCAGTTAGAAATCAAGACTTAGGATCACAAACATAAGAAAACCAGAGGTAAGAAAACATGGTGAATGAGATAGTAATGTATAGAGCGGTCAACCCAAGGTCCATTATCAACACATAAATACAACTAACTACATTGGTGTCACATAAATCCACATTACTGCACTTAACAATGAATGTCAATTATAATTTAAATTTTTCTATAGAATATGTAGATCCTTAAGGTTTGGCGCTGAGAGAGGGTCCTTTCCATAAATGATTTATAGATCTGTAAAATGTTACTTGGCAGATATTCCTTACAATTTATGAACCACAGAGTATAATTTCCTTTTGTTACTCATTCCCTCTTCATTTCTTGCAGATATGACTCTCACACTCAAAATATTGAACCTAATAACTTACAGTATGGCAAAGCGAGTGTATGGATTTGGAGGAAGAAATGCCATGGGTAGAGACTCACATGTGTCTGCAGGGCTTTACTCCTGGGTTTTGGAAGATTGAGAGAAGATGTGTGGCATTTTTTGAGGCTCCTATTAATGAGCTGATGACTCTGGGCATACTGATTATCCTGAAAATGATAAAAATCCATAATTACGTTTTGACTGGAATTTGTGTAAATGAATCAACACACTAATGCACTTGATAGATGTTTCATTTAAAAATATTAAAACTGAAATTAATATATAAGGAATTGAACCATTTAACAACATTTAACGTTTGATCTGTAGTCTTATTTTCTATTTATATCACTTTCAAATTTCCCAAACTCCCTCCTATTTATTATTCTTAGCCTTCCTATTCAACAAAAACTAGCAAGGCTACCAACTACCAATTTTTAAAAATATAATTTGTAACCAATACCATGGTAAACAACTTTTCTTGCAATTACCTTGGTTGGCATCTACACAAGTATCCTTCATTTAGTTTATTAGGAATACCAAAAGCTACTGTATTGATTATGTCAAAACAATTAAATCATAAGGAGAATATACTAGGAACTACTAAGTCAAGAGCCAATTAAAATAGAAGATTAATTGATTTTTGTATGCTAATAAATATTTATTTATTTGTTATGTATTTATGTATTTCTGAATCTTTTTGTTTAGAATAGCTACTATTTAAAACTACTATCAATGGTATATTTGATAGCTTGAATGGATTTTTAGGATGTTCTAGGTGACCCATCAGGAAATGTAAATGGCAGAAAAAAATAATACATCAAGTAAATATTAGGCATCTTGCAAAGCCTATATATTCCTATTTACATTTCCTATTGGGTCACCTAGAACATTCACTTTGAGCCAACTTCTTACAAGTCTATCATCGTTGTATCAACAAGTCACCTCATCAATGGGATTAGAACATGTACCACAAAACCCTAAAGATACCTTCATCATCAATACCTGAACTAATTTCCTGCATCAGACCCCTTGTTATTAAATCACATTTGTAATAGTTTAAATGTACTAATTATATTTGTGAATATGAAGATTGAATATTAATTTTCTTTTTCCCTGACATAGCCTCAGTGTTGTTAACTTTGTTTAATGTTTGTGAGTCTCTATTCTTCATTAGATAATACAAAATCCAAAGTTGAATAATGCAAAGACTACCCTACCATATACACTGAAAGAGAATCAAACCTTTCCTCAGCATGTCTGTGTGTATTTTTGTCATGATAATGAATTAAAATAAAGGTTTAAAAGTCGAGAAAACTAAAATTATATTTTGACAAGTATCTGGCATCCCATGATACTGCCCTATTTTCTGATTCCACAATCTCATAACCTCTATTTTTATTTTCTACCCATGAAGCTGATTTGTTTGAACTTTGGATCACAATGCTTTACACTATAGACTATGCTATAACCTAACCTTTTCAATGGAAGAGGAGATTGCGAGGAAGTTGGGAATCATCAGGCAGTACTTACAAATTCAGTGAACATTTTAAATGCTTGTTCACTTATGTCCTGAGACATACTGACTGCTAGATTAAGCATTTCTTCCAGAGAAGCAAAGCAGCGCCCATTACGTATTGCACAGTTGGGCAACGAGGACACATCTTTCCACAGGAGAAGGTTGGACATCAGTAGTAGAAGCAGTGTCCCTGTTAAAGAAAAATGATTCTGAGATCTAGTAATATGAGTTTATCAACAGTGACAGTATCAATCTAAGCCTTTGCAAACCATGGCCTCCTTTGTACCAATTGTTAGGTTTAATTTGTGAGAATAATGAACATTTTCCAATGAGGGTATTCAAATAGAGGATTACACTTTCCCATATGTATATGATGTAATAGGAGCTTCTCTTGGCACAGCACCAGAGGCTTTGTGTTTTAGCAGGTTGTTTGCATTCTACACTAGTACACATTGATAATACAGGCATTAAGAAGATGATTTCATCTTATCTACTTTGTGTAACAGTTATGAAATGTTTTGTAATGAGATGGATTGGTGTCATAACTCATTTTTCAAAAGAGGGTGACAAAGAACCATAACATATTGATAATTTATAATCTCAATACAACATCAATGTACAAAAATGGAAAATTTATACACCTTCAGTGACACCAGTCTGAAAAAAACTCCCAATCCCCAAAAGCTTTGATAAATGCAGTTGGAAATGTACTTAGAATTTTAGAAACTTAATAAGATTAATACATGGAAAATACATAAACTAAACACTCAAAATAACTAAAACTGTCAAAATGCTCTGTGGTATACAAGTAAACAGGAACCTTTCAAAATAAAATAAAAATTATTTGGATACTTCCTAGTATAGAAGTAAACTGTTAAAAAGTTATGAAAGTTTTCCAAATTTATTTTATACATGAAAGATATTTATGTGTAAAATAAATTTAAACATATGTGGATAGCTTTAATTATCTGAAAGATTTTCACAATCTAAGAGAGGTAAAAGGAGCTAATTCAAGAGTTTGCTTTTATGAAATTTTTGGATGTTAACAATTCATTTTACTTGGAGACACTATCAAGAAAATAAAGGGAAATATTAGCAAAGTGTCCTTTGTATTAAAGAGTACTTTGCTTGACTGAAATTCTCAAAGCTGTATAGAGCCACATCTTCTAGCTTATATACTATGTCAACAAAACTGAAAATATGATTAAGTTCATTCAGGTCAAGCAAGAATATGTTATACTATTCCTTCAATAGTTATAATAAATTGTACCCATTCTTGCTGTCTTATTCTGACTGGAAATATCAATGTTTGTAAGTTTGGCTCTAAGAGGTGGATCATCCCATGCTCTGGAACTCTTCAACATTCATTGTTCAACAGACTCACTGCTGGTCTCCTCCTCTAGAAACAGGTGCTCTTCTTCTTTTCTACTCAGGTCCACTAAGGCAGTGCACAAATGTTTCTAAACATCGCTAGAAGACTTCCCTTTCAGAACCAATATGCAACAGTTCACTGTGCAATTGTCTTCTAGAGCAATAATTAGAAACTATTCCTTAGATTCTCCTGACTTTACTTCTCTGGGTAAGGTGTGGACAAATTTCCATTCACTGTATATATAGGAACTAACTCATAGGAACACACACACACACACACACACACACACACACACACACACACACACACACACACCCTAACAAAAATAACCCCACAAACTCAACAACAACAAACCTGTACAAACCAGTTTTATTTTTAAATAAGGCAATGTTTAAGGTCAACTGGAGGAAATCTGGAGAAGAGTTACTGTAGGAGCATAGTTGAATCAAAGACAGCTCTGCCTCTAAGGAGTCTCATTAAAGCTTGAGAACCATAAGACCATAAAGGAACAATAGCACCAAAGAAAAAAAATAGGGAACTGTCCAATCCAGTTTTGTAAAACAGTGCAATGCATAAGGTTGTCATTTAGTCATTTGAAAGAACATTAGTGAAAAGTTACTTACAGAGACCTGGATACATTAAAGATAGCTGCATCTTGGAGGATTCCCACAATAGCGCAGCTACTGACTCAAGTAATCTTCACCACAACAGTCTACCTTCAGTTATTTTTTTCCTCCTATATAGTGTTTCACACTATCCCCAAGGCTATATATTGCCAGGGGCAGGAGGAAGTAATATGCAAATCCAAGTTGAGGATACCTTGACTCTCCCCTTCAGGGGCTGTTTACAGCCTAATTGCCACGATGATTAGCTTGTGTATAACTGCTAATGTTTACTTTATTCTAAGTATGTGATTGGAGTCCAAATAACATTGCAAATCACAATAAACTCTGCTCCATGAAGACTTGTAAATTGTTTACTGTGCCCAAAGTGGTCATTATTTTCATGTTCTTCTATATTTTAGTTACTACTTCTAAAATATTCACTGAGTCTCAGATGTGTCAAAGAAGAAGGCCAAGAAAGAGTCAGAAATTTTGAGCAATTTGACCTTGTGAGTCTTTCCCAATATGTATGTAACATGGTATAACGTTTGCCTTAACACAGTAGGCACATAAGAGCACAGTCTACATCCAGATACAAATGCTTTTGAGGGATTTTTGTTAAGCAAACACATTCATTATAGGGAAAAATACCAAATACCTTCTATTGGGAGTCTATGATATCCACATTTTACAGACTTTCAGCCATAATTACAGTAAACAAACTTGGGTTATATCCATGGAACTGGTTTTAAATTGAAACATTTCTCTAACTTTATAATAGCTGTACCACTGTTAGATGAGTCTATACATCCTCTTGGCTTAGTAATGTCATTATCTTTGGCTGAATATCTTCCTTAGTGACATTTCCTGTTAGTAACCAGCATACATCCCTCTGGTACTGTGGAAGTCAATTATCACCATCAGATCTACCTGTATCTTGGTTTGAGTTATATACTCCAAGAAATCATGACTTGTGTCATCTCATTCTATAGTCTCTTATATATAGTACTGGTTACATCTAATCCACTGACAATGGTTTATTGCATACATGGTCAATAGGGCCATGCTGTTGTGTAGCTCCTAAGAGGCTAGTGACTGGACCATGGGATATTTCACTAACCTTGTGATTTTACTTCCACTTCTTCCAAATATGGCAGGTTACTCCTTTCAAATTAACTGCCATTTTTGCTTGCAGATGGCCTTCAAAATCTTTGCAGTAGATGGTATCTTTATACAGTGGAACCCTTGCAGAGAGTTATAAGAATCATCAAAGGTCTAGTATTCTCTGTCACAAACAAGTGCAAATTTGAATGAAGTCAGCATATAGTGGAATCATTAAAAATGAAAAAGTTATTATACTATATAATGAAAATATCTCATTTGTCCTGTTTCCTTCAAAGAATGAAATTATAAACAATGTAGTAGATAATATGCCATATTCCTTCTTTTTGCAAGGGAATGTTTCATTTTTGACATTGTACCAGTTCAACAGTAAGTATCTCACAATCAAGAAATTGCCTTGAGTTTTCATAGAGATAGGGGATGAATGAGCAGTGTTCAAACTCTGATTCACTATGGGACTCATCATGGGAAGGCGCAGTCAGTCATGTGCTATGACAAAAGTATTAAACATGTAGAAAGGGACAGAAAATGATTGCATAGACATGTGTCATGTTGACAGGGGTTAGTACTGTGATTGTTACTATAGATGGGAAGCTTGATAGGATCTAGAATCTCCTGAGAGACAAACCTCTGGTTATTTTCTATTAGGAAGAATCTGTATCTTGCTACTTTAGGCAGGAGGACCAATTTGTGGGTAGTGCTATGTATTGTGCTTTAGACTGAATGAAAAGGACAAGGGAAATGCAGAAACAGCATTGTTCCTGTAGCTTCCTGATGGTGGGAGCCATACGACCAGCTCTGTCACCTGCCCTGCTATGATGAAATTCCACTGCAAAATCAGCCACAATTAACCCTAACTACATCAAAATTGCTTTTATCAGGGAAAAATGGAATTTGCTCAAATGACATCATCCACTAAACTTTAGTCTTCATCATCTTGAGGCATTTCCCCTGAACAACTTTGACCCAGGCAGCTTGTATTACTTGTGCTGGCCAGGGGCATTACTTGGGTTGGCCATGAGGAAATAGGGGACCAGGCCATTCTTTTTTGTGGATCCTTGCCATTTCACCTGGCTACTGTGTCAGACTGACTTCAGGCTGGCCCTGTGGCCACATCCTGTTTATCAGCCATGTATGTCTGCTGAAAGGGCTGGAGATGGGAGAGCAATATCCATATTTAATAGTTCTTATTTTCCATGCACACAAAACTCAAGTTGATCTCATGTCCTTAGGTGATTCTTTTCAATGGTGGTACTCCTTGCATTGTAACAGGGATCCTACTACACATGACAGATCTTTCATTATAAATTTTATGTTATATGATATGTTGGGTAGAAATAATTGTCCACTCTTAGCTTAAGCTAAATCTATTCCACTTTAATACCATGTTACCATGTCTATAGCTATATCTTGCTGACCAATGTCTGTTGAATTCCACAGTTGTTATTTGTTGCTAATTTATGCTCACTAGCTGAACATTCAACAAAATAGTAGTTTTCAGTGTGTTAGTGGTGATTCAATACATCTATAAATTAGTAGGGAGAGTCTAGGCAGCAGTGCTCTGTGCCCATACATGCCACCAACAATGACCATTGTGCAAATAAAATGCCTGAATTCATTCCCATCAATGGCATCTCCTTCACCACAGAAGTAGGTTCACTGCTAACACTTGTGCCTCCCCCGTCATCAGTAAGCTCTACTCTCGACATTCTCATGTTTAAGAAACATATCAGTGTGACATCTAAACCTCAGTCCCTAGAAACGGTGCTTTAAAGCTACCCCAATCTCCCACCATGCTTTTCTTTGTGTGCACTGTTTCCATTCTTTTTCTTATTCATTGCATTTTGTTCACTTTAGCACTTTACCAGCCCAAATTTCACTCAAGCCATCATTATTCTGATCATCCTAAACCTTCCTGTTCCCTCTCCTGTGGCCCAAGCAGGAAATATTCTGAAGAGAAACACCATAGTCCCTCTTGGATCTTCCATACTATTACTATGTTAGAACTCAGATATTTACTTGTTACCAGGTACACTGCATTTGGGAGCTGGTGCCTATCTCTGAGAAAATATTCCCCAGTCTCCCAAACTGTCCAATAAAGCAATGGATTGAGCAACAGACATCTGCCAGGAATGGAATTTAGCTAGGCTTCTGGCTAGAGAAACATAGTTTAGATTCAACATTCTCTATACCTCTAAACATTGTAATACAAATCTTTAAAACACATTTGTAATCCTTAATGTCCAATACCACAATACAATACAACAGGAAAATACCTATTGTTCAAGCCTCAGATTGATTTAATAGTTTATCTAATGTCTTCACTTGTTGTGAAGTTACTTCAAATGATGCCAAAAGTTTGTTGTTCAAGAAATGTGGAGGTAAAAATTAAACCAAAATCTGAACAACTGAATCAAAAAGTGGTCTACACAGAGCAGAAAATAGCATGAGTGATTGGTTAAGCAAAATGTGAAGGTTCTTGTCCCACACAGGGTTCAACTAAAACAGTTTCTACAAAGAATTTGAAACATGTGCAGACATACTTCTAGATCACAAATAGAGTTCACCAGGGACTTTCCAACTTTTGAAAATGAATAACTTGAGTGTCATTGACAAGAAAATAAATAGATAGCTAGAATATTCTTTTCAAGCTCAAAAGGTGCTTTTTCTTCATATTCTTCAATATGAGCTTGCAGGCAGCCAGGACCTGAAGGTGATGACTTTGAGAAAACATCATAGCACATGGAGTTCCTACACTCTAATTTCTGGAAAGAGCTACTTAATAAAAATCTAAATAAAACCTTAATAAAAGCTGAATTGCACGTGGGTATATGGTTCCATAAACCTGTTGGTTCAGTTTTCCATTTTCCCCCAACATTTTGGGAAAGTTTGCTAAAAGAAATTGTATCTTTGCATTTTAGCTGTAAAAACATGTTTATAGAGAAATTTATGCAGTAGAATTCATTCTTCATTGCATGCTACCATCTTATAATCTATCTAGTTATTGATACCAGCTATTTTACTTTTAGATATGAATGTGAGAGAATTTTAAGTGTATATTCTTAGCATCAAAGTAACCAGTCAACCAGGTTCCCTCCATTCCCTATTATTAAGACAGTTTCTGTGGGGTATATGATCCTAACCAAAGGTAGCCCTAGCAGATGTTGCTGTTGCTGGGTCTATTCTTTGATAATTGGAGACTGAAGATTTTTCTATGTTCCTTTTATTTATGCGTGTAATAATACACACATAAGTGAAACTAAATGGAATCCATAGGTATGTATGTGTTTGCAGCAATATGATTTAAGAATAAGAGATATGGATTTGAAAAGGAGAAGGGGAAGACTCACGGGTTGTTATATGGATGAGAAGGAGGGGAGAAAGGAAGTAAATACAATATTCATGTGAAATTCTCAAAAATTATACATATATAAATTAGTAATATATTATACAATTTTCTGTAAGAATTTGTGGAAATACAGTATCTCTATTCTCATGTGAAAATATTTTATCAAACATTTGGAACAACATCTCAATGCCAAAGCAACCACAGTAGTCTGGAAAAACTTTCGCATGTCGTATGCATTGTCTCCTTGCTGATCTGTGGTCACTTTGTTTCTTTCTTATCATCACATATGAGCCTCTCTTTCATATAAAGGTAAACACATTAGTGGATGATGTTCCTTTAAAAATCATTAAATTCTAGCATTACCACTTTCACAAGAGTATGAAGCTCTTCTTTTTAATTGAATTCTAATAAAAAGACAAGTTTCCATGATTTGTTTCAGTTATTTTTTTCTAAAGATGCATGGTGCAGAGATCAGGGTGCATGGGCAGAAAGTAATAACCTCATTTCTAATTTCATTCTAAATGTTTATACCCTTGTACCTACACATAAGTGCAGTTCTCATTCCTCAGAAAACTTCCCTT